CGCCGTCCTGAGACAGCGGCCTGGTTTAGCAGAGGACGGAAGAGGGGGACCCTCAGGGTATGCCAGGCCCTCCTCGCCACTGCAAACGAGGTTCGAAGGCAGCTACTTGCCACATGACCCGGTTATCTGTTACTGCATAAAACAGTGTCCCCAACTCAGTGACTTCAGACGACGACATTCTCAAATGATCTCTCTGTCCCGAGATAGACTGGGCCCCCGCTCAGGCGGCCCTTGCCCGCGTTTCTCGGGCAGTTGCAGTTGGAGTAACCCCAACGGCTCCCTCAGGGTCGGGTCTGAGGGCCGGTGCCAGCGTCCTCTGGGACCTCAGCGGGCCCACTGGCTGGACCACCCCCTGTGCTCTCCCCACATGGCCTGGGCTTCCTCGGCGCGTGTGTCTGGGCTCCAGGAGCGGAGTTTCGAGGGTGCAAGTGGAAGCTGTTGCTCTCTATGACCTAGCTTCCACAGTCACATAGCGTCACTTCCGCTACCCTCTGAGCCCCCCTCCTCCCTGATCGAGGGAGGGGGCACAGAGGGTCACGGTCCCAGTGCTGGGAGAACATGTGGGATGGAAACTGTGGTGGCCATGTTTGGAAAATACGATCTGTCACACTGCATGAGTTCTGTGGCCCAGGGAAGTTCACATGAAAGGAGCTTTGATGTCCCATTTGCTTTCTTCTCTCACATCTGGGAGCTCCATGTTTACCAAACTGCTTTTCTTCATCGAAGTCTGTGGCGACGGGTGCTGCAGACTGGCCTGCGGTGCAGTCGTCATTGTGACGGATGGGGGTAGACTGAGGCCCCGCACCTTGCACGGGATTGACACAAAGACGGAGTTTAGGGAGCCTTGGCCGGTGGGATCTTGGAGCACTTTACACACACACACACACACACACACACACACACACACACACACACACACACACAGCAGTCCCGGGTGGGCAGAGAGGTGTGTGTCCATGCAGAGGGGTCCCCAGGGCTCGGACCTGCGCCCACCAGCTCAGAGGGGTAAGAGGCCTTCCCTGGGTCGCACAGCTGGCCATCAGGAAAAGCAAAAGTAGAATCCAGGCTTGGGGCTCTGCGAGGACATTGGGTAGCCCATGAATCTGCAGAAGAAATCACCAGGGTGCACGGGTTTCCGTGGCTGAGCTTCTAAGAAGTGGCTCTAGAGAGGGTGTGAGCCCTTCCCTCCAAGGCTAAATCCCTTTTCTACGAGAGTAGGGGTGGGCGGGGGAACGCCAGGCACCCCACAAGTTCGTCCTACCAGGTGATATTGGCCTCCCTTCCATCGAGAGGCAGGTCTACGTTCCCTCCCTTGGTTCTGGTTGGACCTGTAGCTCTGGCCCTTCCAGATTCACCTGTAATTGAAGGCCAGCGTGCCCCTTACTCTCTTCACAGGCTGTGACCAGCCTCCTGATTGGAGCCTCCTTCCCTGCTGCCTGTTGAGTGGCACAGAGAATCCCTGGGGCCCTGGGCCTTGGGGAGTGAAGAGAGGCCCCAGGCCTGGCTCGGGCAGCTTCTCCCCCAGCCCAGCCTGCAAGCTAATGTCGCCTTAATGCTGTGGTCAGGCGGCCACGTGGCCGGGCTCCCTGGGCGGGCAGGGCTACATAATGGACGGCCTGGACCCGCCCGCTGACCGCCCCATTAAATGTGGTCGATTTTTTTTTCTGGTTCCTGGTGTTTTAAGCTGAGTGTCTCTGGGCAGGCATTCAAAGCCTGTTCCAGAGCTAATCTCCGAGGCAGGGACAGAGCAGGCCGGGCTGCATTAAACGGCTAAATCTGGTACAGGGTGGGCGGAGCTCATTCGAGGAAAGAATAGCATCTCTGTGGTCTTGGACAGCAGCGGTCATCAGCGCTGGCTGCTCTCCCTGTCCTTCAGGCTGTCAGAGGGGATCGCTGGGTTGTAGTTTGGGTGCCAGGGAATGGTCCCAAATGAAGACCTTGGGTCTTGGGGCTCCGGGCCTTTGCTGTGTGTCATCCAGGCAGTTGCTGACCCACCCTGTGCATTAGCTTTCATGCGAGGGTTCAGCCTTTCATAGGCCCCTCTATGGGATGAGATTCCAGAGGTTTGGGGAGAGGGACAGTCTCTGTAGTTAAGGATATCAGGGTGTCGGGGTTGGAAGGAGCTTGAAAACTTGAGGATAAAGTACAGGCCAGCTGGCAGGACATAGGGACCAAAGCCTGGGGTGTCTAGGAAGGCAGTGGTCATAGAAAGTCTGAGAGGAGGACCAGGATGGCCCAGTGGTGGGGAGTTGGGGGCATGAGAGACTCAGGCATTGGGACCAGCTGCCCTTTGGCCTTGTGTTACTCTAGTCCCCTTCTCTGTCTAGGGTAGAGCCGAGGGCAGGATAGGTTGCAAGGTCAACTGAGCTGGGCAGTAAGGCAGAGAGAACAAAGATGAGGACGGGGGCGGGGCGGGGGACACCTGCTGCTGAGCCCTGAACGCGGGCACTGGGCCACTGCATTCCCCGGCCCCGGGCCAGAGCCTGGAGAGGAGGTGAGCTTGCTGAGCAGCCGGGGGGGTCCCAGCTAGGGTGGGGTCACAGGGTCAGAGTGCAAGTCAGGCCTGATGGGAGTTCCTGCCACACAACAGCCAGAAAAGCCCTCGGAGATTGAGGTCAGTCCCTGGATGGGAAGCTCAGAGAGGGAGGGGAGCTTGCCGAAAGTCACAGGGTGGCAGGGCTGGCACTGGGTCTGGGTCTTTGGTTGCTGGCGAAATCCGATCTCTGCTAGACAGAGAGCCCCCGGGGAAGGAGGCTGCCTCGGACATCTCCACACTCCCCCCCCACCCTGCCTGCACTTGGCCTGTAGCCTCTGCTTACCAGGGGTTCTATCACTCCAGGTCCCTGGGTGAGGGACACCTTCATCCCTCGAGGTGGAGCAGGAGTGTCCAGAGCTATGGGAATGACCAGGAGTCAGTGATCTAATTTCTAATCCCATCTTGGCCACCAGCTTGATGGGTGGTCTTGGTCATTTGCTCTCTCTGGGTCTCGCGTGTTTGCATGTGTGAAATGGGAGTGACTGGCCTGGCTTGAGGGGGGGTCCTTCCAGATGGGATTTGGGCTCTTTGCAGTGCTTCAGGGCTCGAGTTTGGGACCCTCCAGCCAGCATCCTGCCTGCCCCTCATCCCTGCCTGTTCTCGCCACATGTCCTCTCCAGTCTTGGAGTCACCGTGAATCCTTACCCCCGCCTGCCACTGAACTGCACCCTCCGAGTCAGTATTGACCGCCTACTGCACACTCCGCTGCCGCTTGCTGGGCGACTGCCGTCAGGGAACCGACAGCTCCGCTGGGGGGGAGCCTGGGGGGGGGGCAGACCTGTGCCCAATACAGGGAGGGGTTGTGCGACCTCCTGTTGTTGCTGTGACCAGTGACTGTTATCTTACTGGCCTTAAACAACACACGTCTATTATCTTACAATTCTGTAGGTCAGAAGTCTCACTGGGCCCCTCTGTGTTCCTTTTGGAGGCTCTGGGGCAGAATCTGTTTCCCTGCTCTTCCAGCTTCTAGGGCCCATCCACGCGCCTTGGCTCGTGACCCCCTTCTTCAAATTCAAAGCTGTCGGCCTAGGCTCTTCCAGTCTCTCTTTCTGACTCTGACACGCTTGCCTCCCTCATGCAGATGGGCCCCAAGGAACCACAAGGGACAATCCGGTCTTCTGACATGTCAAATCCGTAACTCGAGCACACTTGCAAAGTCCCTTTTGCATATCACAGATTTGGGGGATTAACACAAGAGCATCTTTGGGGGCCATTATATTGCCAAAGACAGGTATCAAGACAGTCCCTGCTTCCAAATGTTCTGGTGGCACAGAAATCCTGCTGGGGGGTCTCCTGGATCAGTCTTGGGTTCCAGTCCCTGTTCTTTCAGCTGTGAGCTGAGGAGCCGTGGTGGGCAGACCTGCCACCTGCCCTGAGCCTCAGTCTCCTCAGCTGTACCTGGAGGATTTTAATACCCAACTCACAGCCTTGCGGTGAACATGTGAGATGCCGTGTGTAGGGTGCAGACACAGCACCCAGTCTAAAACAGCCATTCACGAAATGGTTGCTTCTGTGTTAATTCACAGATGCCCTATAACACGCCCTCTGGTTCTGGGTGGGCTGCAGTGGATGGGCAAGGACAAGAAGCACATGAGGCCTGGATCTTACTCTGCCCACCCTGCAACGCCCTGAGGCATGGGGTAGGAAGGGCATATGCCCTGAGCGGTCTGGGCCAGGCTTAGCCCCCTCCAGTCTTGATCCGATTCATTCATTCATGCCACTGTAATTTGCTGAGCTCCTGCTGAGACAGAGGGACAGGAGTGAATAGGACTGATATGGGCACATGCCTGTGGGGTGGTGTGGGACACTCAGTTAACAACAAAGCTATAATGTGCACAGAAAGATTCCAGTTTGTAAAGTTTTAGAAAGGATATAAATGGCGGTGGTGTGAGAGAGAATAGTAAGGTGGTCAAGGAAGTCTCCCCGCTATGACATTTAAGCTGACTCCTAAAAGTGGGAAAAGCCAGGACTGGGAAGAGTTGGGCTAAAGCACTGATCTAGGCCTTGGGAAGAACATGTGCAAGGGTCCTGTGGCAGGAAAGAGCTTGCGCAATCAGAAGCTGGTGCGGATGGAGCAGTGTCCAGGCAGGAGAGCAACTGAGGATGAAGTGGGAGGGAGGCAGGGCCAGGCATGGCATGAATTTGGATTTTGTTTCAAGGATGAAGTGTAGAGAGTTTAAAGCAGGGGTATCTGATAATTTAATTTATGTTTTTAAAGCTCATTCTGTGTGCTTAACTAAAAATCACTTGGTGTGAGGTGGAGAGTAGGCTGTGGGGGTGAACTGTATTACTGTTCTGAATTATTCACTTCTCTCTGAAAGGGAGGACCATTCATTCCTACCTCACTAACTTCAGGTTTATTATATGACTTGCCTTGGCCAAAAAAGTGTAAGTAGAAGTGACATATGCTATCTTGGGGCAGACGCTTAACCATGTCTTTTTTCCTTCCTCCAGATCGACTATAGTATTCTAGAAGGAGGCTGCTCCATCCACCCAGGCTACAGAGTGAGGATACTGTGGGTCCGACCTGCACCTGACCAGCAATGAATGGGCACTGTGGCTAAAAAATAAATCTTCGCTCCTGCAGGCCGCTGAGGCACGGAGATCATTTGTCACTGGAGCATAGTCTAACCTAGCCCGATGAGGTGTTGCGTGTAAAGCAAAAAATTTTTCTGGTTTTGTCTTTAAGGGGAGCGAGAGGGAGGAAGACCCAGAGTGAAGTCTTGGCAGCAGCTGGAAACCTTGAGGCACCCAAGTGAGCAAAAGGAGCCCTGGAAGAGGGGTCACTGGCTCTGGCTCTTGTCCCAGCTCTGCCACCCCATATTCGTCAAATACCTCTGAACACCTTCTGCTGCCATCAAGGCGACAGAGCATCACAATTAAGCCCCTGAACAGGTGTGAGGACCCTTATGAAAGCAGAAATGTGGTCATATTCTTCACTGGGGCTCTTGAGGCCACGCTGACCTTTGATCTCGTCAACCACAGCTTCCATCTGGACCCCTCCACACTCTGTGCTCTGGCAAGTTCTTGAATGGGTCTGGTTTACTGTACCCTCAGGGCCTTTGCACATGCTCTTTTATTTTTTTCTTTAGATCTCAGGTTTATCAACATTTCATCAATGAAGCATTCCTGACCCGCATGACAAAGTCAAGGCCGACCCTGTAGATGCTCCGATGGCATTTATGGTTATGCAGTGAGTAAAACTCCTCGCCCACAAACTCACATGTGTCAGAAATGAAATATCTTTATTTTTATGTTGTATTAGTCTATTTGCCTTTCCTTGCATTAATACCATACTATCTTAATTACTTTATGATGTCTTCATAGTCAATGGTTTTAAGTTCTCCAACTTTGTTCTTTTTCAAGATTGTCTTGGCTATTCCTTTTTTTTAAGTTTATTTAATTGATTATGCTATTATGCTTTCCCAATTTTTCCCCCGTTGCCCCCTTTCCTCCAGTGATCCCCCCTTAGTTCATGTCCATGGGTTATGCAGCTAAGTTCTGTGGTTTCTCCATTGCCTGTAGATTTTAACAGCTCGCTGTCTGTTCTGTACCTGCCCAATTTCACTTCTACATTTCCATGCCTTTTGCCCCGTTCCCCCCTCCCCCCTCCATGCTGAAAACCCTCCAGATGATCTCCATATCTATGATTCTATTCCTGTTCTAGTTGTTTGCTTAGCTTGTTTTTGTTTGTTAGTTGTTGATAGTTGTGAGTTGGTTGTCATTTTAATGTTCATAATTTGGATCTTTTTTTGTAAATAAGTCCCTTTCACATATAACAAGGGCTTGGTGATGATGAACTTCTTCAGCTCTACCTTGCCTGGGAAGCACTTTATCTGTCCTTCAGTTCTAAATGATATTCTTAACCTTTGCATTTTCATTAAAAATTTAGAATTAATTTATAAATTTCTATTAAAGCCTGTCAGGATTTGGATTTGGATTGCATTGAATCTGCAGATCAGTTCATGGAGAATAGTTTCACATATTGAGTCTCCAATCCATGAACATGGTGTACTCTTCTATTAATTTTGTCTTTAATTTCTTTTAATAATGTTTTATAGTTTTCTGTGTAAAGATCTTATACATCTCATTTTAGATTTACTGTTAGTTATTTGATATTTTCTATTCTATTATACATTACGTATTTTTAGACTTCATTTTCTAATTATTATTATTGGTATAGCAACATGCAATTACTTGCTAAATTGACCTAATTTTAATTATTTGTAAATTATTTTAGATTTTTAAAAAAGATGTTATATCTTTTTAGAGAGAGGGAAAGGGAGAAAGAAAGGGGAAAAAAACATCAATGTGTGGTTGCCTCTCACACGCCCCCTACTGGGGACCTGGCCAGAAACCCAGGCATGTGCCCCAACTGGGAATTAACCAGCAACCCATTGCTTAGCATTCATTCTGGCACTCAATCCACTGAGCCACACCAGCCAGGGCTATTTTAGATTTTAATTAATTTTAATTATTTGTAAATTATTCTAGATTCTCAGTGGACACAACCACATTGTCTCTTATTTCTTGCTTTATAATCTTTATGCCTTTTATTATTGTTATCGTTTTAAAACTTATTGCTCTGGCTGGGATCTTCAGAACAGTGTCGATAGAAGTGATAATAGTAGACACAATTATCTGCTATTATAGATAATTACAATCTCAGAGGAAGGTTCTCAGTATTTTACTATTAGGTGTAATGTTTGCTGTGGTTTTATGTCTGTATCTTTTATCAGGTTAAGGAAACTTTCTACTTTTTATATTTGCTAAGAGTTTTAACATCATGAATGGGTGTTAAATTTTATCAAATGACTTTTTTGCATCTATTGAGATAAATGTGGGACTTTTATCTTTTATTTCCTTTATTCTATTAGTATGATCAATTACCATAACTTATCTTTAAATGTTAAGCCAAGCCTCTCATTCCTGGGGAGAAAAACTGGAAGCTCATTGTGACTGTAATAATCCATATACATGTAGACTTGGACTGCTTGTATTTTGATAAGGATTTTTGCATTTATCTCATTTAATTTTTATAAGAATTCTCCAAGGAAGATAACTATTATCTCCATTTCACAAATGAAGAATTGAGCCTTAAAGGGGTTAATTAACCATGAGAGAAATTGAATTGTAATTTTCTTTTCTTGTAATATTTTTATATCAGATTGATGCTGACCTCAAAAATATTATTTAAAAATACATTCTTTGGAATGGTTTAAGATTGGCCTCATTTCTTCCTTATATTTTTGGAAAAATTCACTAATGAAACCATCTGTGCCTGAAATTTTCTTTGTGAGACTTAAAAAATGGATGTTTCCTTTAAAATATATAGGACTATCCAGATTTTATATTTCTTCCTCTGTCAATTTGTTAGTTGAGTTGTTTGAGGAATTTGTCCAGTTCATCTAAATGATTAGATTTAATAACAAAGATATTGTGTAAAACTTTATACAATATCTTATTAATTTAAAAATCTTTTTAGTATCTGTAAGTTCTACAGTCATATCTCCTTTTCTCATTTTAGATTTTAGTTGTTTATGCCTTTTCTTACACAATTCCAGGTCCTGGAAGCTCGTTAAAGCTGCCCCAGGTCCTAGTGGCCCACGTCCCGCCCAGCCACTTTTCCTCTGGTGTCTTGCTCCTCCCTGGGTTCTCCCTGGAAGTGAGATTTATAGATTTTTCAGATCCCAAGAAGCTGTCTGGTAGTCTTTTGTCCTCCTGTAACACTTGACCTTGGGGAAATGTAGTGTGGGATTGACCTTCCTCACAGTTTCTATACCACTTTTCATTACTTCCGACTCTCCCAAATCCCATCGGTCACCCCACCACACACATACAAATTTATGCTTACGTGAATCCGAAAATCTCTACATAATCTGAGGGATGGGAGAGTTTGCTGTCGCTCCTTACACAATCTCCACACTTTCTCCATGACCTCAGGCTTTGACTCCCCTTTTCGAAATTCAAAAGCCAGGAAGAGCTGGGCTCCTATCTTCTCTTTCTGCTGTTCCACTGCTTCCTTGAACTCAAGTCAGTCCAGAGCCCGGAGAGATGGGGTAGGTGGGCAGAGGGGAAGCTTGGGAAGTAGGCAGGTGGTCTTGAGTAAGTCATCTAATCTCTAGGAGCCTCAGTTTCTCCAGTTGTACAATGAAGGGAATGACCCCCAACCTGCCTTGCTCATAGTGTGATGAAAAAAGATCAAATCAATGCTCCAGAGCAAGGACACAAAGGACATTTCATTGTGAACTATACCATGTACTCAAAAGAGCACATAAACATACACATACTATTTAATTAATAATAATTAATACAATATAAATGGTTTGGCACAAACAACGCCACTGTTTATTACAAAGTCTTTTATTACAAAATCATAAGCATGCAATTCTGCAGCAAATCTATTATCTCACTCAAGCCCACCATATGACATTTTAGGTGACATGTTCAAATTAAAACTGTACATTGTCACACCCATATCATTACCCTTCCAACCACACTCAAACAAGCCTTATTTCTGCCAGACTCTGTGTATTAATCATAAAACAGATGCCTGTGTCCACACCACCGACTTCAAGAACTTACTCTGTCTTCGAGATTCCTTGTGGGTCTCAACCCCCTGTTATTATTTTTTCTAAAAGGTGATCAACATACTGAATTTTGTGTGAATTATTCTCATTCTTCTTACAGTTTTACTTTTTAAACACACAACCCTTAACAATGTGCTTATTAAAGCTTTGCCTATTTTTGAGTCTTATATCAATGAGTCCTACTGTCTTTTTTCCTGTGACTTGCTTCTCTCACTCAGCGTGGTGCTGAAAGCCACCCATGTGTCTGCGAGTAGCAGTGCCATTCATTCTTCACTGCTGGATGATGGGAATGTACCACAATGGGTTTCCCTGCCTCCTACTTACGGGCATTGGGATTGTTGCGTTACTTCAAATAATGTTATCACAAACATTCTTATAGATGTCTCCACACCATAGCTGTGACCCAACTCGGTCCAAAGATTTTCTTTAGGAGTGAAATTGCTGAGTCTTAGGGTGTGCGCGTATTTAATGCAAAAATGTTATTTACTAGATGCCTTAATTTCTTCTTACTGCCATAACAAATGACCACAAACTTGGTGGCTTAGAAAAAACCACATTTATGATCTTACAGTTCTGTAGACAGAAGTCCAAAGTGATCTTGCTGGGTTCACAACATCGAGTGTTGTCAGGGCTTTGGGATGCCCCAGGGAAGCACCTGCTCTCCACCTTTCGAAACTTCTGGAGGCTGCCCATGTTCTTGGCTCGGGACCCCTTCCTGCTCTTGGAAGACAGCAGTGTAGCATCTTCCAATCTCTGTGACTCTGAGGCCTCCCTCTCTCACTTAGTAGGCTGCCCACGGGCCCACTGGGATAATCCAGCGTAATCTCCCCATTTAAAGGTCAGCTGATCAGCAACCTTCATTCCATTTGCAACCTTAATTCTCCTTGGCCTGAAACCTAATATATTTATAAATTCTGGAGATTAGGATGTGGACCTCTTCGGAGGGAAGGCATTTCCCTGCTTATCGCACTAGATGATGTAAACTTGATTTTTACAGTTGTGCTTCCCTGGCTGGTGTAGCTCAGTGGATCAAGTGCAGGCCTGTGAACCGAAGCATCGCTGGTTTGATTCCCAGTCAGGGCACATACCTGGGTTACAGGCCACATCCCCAGTAGGGGGTGTGCTAGAGGCAACCACACATTAACGTTTCACTCCCTCTCTTTCTCCCTCCCTTCCCCATCTCTCTAAAATAAATAAATAAAATCTTTTAAAAAATAAAATAAAGCTGTTGTGCCTATTTATACTTCCACCAGTGCCCATTCTTTTTGTTCCTGTGAGGACCGTCTTTTATTATAATTTCTTTTTGATTTTAAATATTTTATTTTTAGAGAGGGGAAGGGACGGAGAAGAGAGGGAGAGAAACATCAGGGTGTGGTTGCCTCTTGTACACCCCCAACCGGGGACCTGGCCTGCGACCCACGCCTGTGCCCTGACTGGGAATCAAACCAGTGACCCTTTGGTTTGCAGGCTGGCACTCAATCCACTGAGCCACACCAGCCAGGGCTTTATTATAATTTTTTTATTTTAAAATAGTTTAAAATTCACAGGAAGTTGGAAAAATAGTCTAAAAATATACTCTTCACCTAGCTTTTACATGAACTTTCTTTCTTTCTTTCTTTCTTTCTTTCTTTCTTTCTTTCTTTCTTTCTTTCTTTCTTTCTTTCTTTCTTTCTTTCTTTCTTTCTTTCTTTCAGTCTGTCTTTGTTGTATAGTTCTATGAAACTTTGTCATATAGATTCCAGCAACCATTGCAATAGGAATAAAGACCCTTGTAAACCCTAAATGTAGTACAAAGCTTAGAGATCATCACGACAAAGCAGGTCCTGGAGACCTCCCGAGGGTAAGGAGGATGGCTCAGACCAGGGCATGTTCTGGGGTGAGAGAGGAAAGGGAAGACCAGGGCCCTCCAGGTGGGGCTTCCTGGGGAGGCAGCCCCGCCCACGGAAGTCCTGGTGAGGGTCACCTTGGCTGAGTCCTTGCCAGTGCACCTGGGCACACAGGCATCAGGGAAAAGTAAGGGCTTTAACTGTTCCAGATTAATCCTGCTAAGTTGCAACAATATTGATATGCTATTATTTTCCATCTTTATTCATCCCCCGGCGAAGAAAGAATGACTCCCCCCAGGCCATTCATAATTGAAAAATGCTTTTAAGGCCTTTACGAGTTGAATACTAAATTTCGAGAGGTGCCTGCTTTATTGGGCCTCCAGTCACCGATGATACATTTGCTCCCTAATGTTCTTTAAGAAAAGGAGCTCGAGTGGCATGACGGATGGGGCCGATCAGAATCAATGCTCATTAGTGACTCTGGTGGCCAGGTGGGTCTGGGCTGCTGCTCACTTGGGGAGACAGACTGGACAGGGGACTGGCTCCCCGCAAGGGACATGAGTGAGGCCTGTTGGCCAACATTAGCCTTGAACTGTGGCTTATCATTCATTTGTTCGTCCACTCACTTATTCAATAGATTCCACCAGATGCTGGATAGAGAAGTGGATCAGACCGAGCCCTGTCCTCAAGGCGTCGCTGGACTTGCGGACAAACAGGGGGAATTGGGCACAGATGTCCGATGCAGGGGATGTGTCTGGGGCCTGGGAGCTGGAGGGGGCGCCAATTTTGCAGGGAGGGCTGGCAGCCAGGAAGAGCTGCAGCTCAGAGGGGACCTTTGGGTGGTGTGCCATAGGTTTGTGGTGTGAACAGAGAAACTTGTCAGAGTGCGAAGGGTGTTCCTGGCAGCGATAGAGCAACATGGGCAAAATCGTGGGGGTGTGACGCAGCCTGGAGTGAGGAGCCGGAGCCACCTGACTTCTTAGAAGAGTCCGCTGACGGGGTAGCCAGAGCTGCTGTCCTCCTGATCCAACTCTGAATCCTGGGACGGCAACATCAGAATAAGGGCCTTCAGAAAACGTCTGGCTTGACCCACTGTAACTCCGATGGGCAAATAAGGCCCAGAGAGGGGACTTTCTCAGGGTCTCATAGCCAGGTAATGAGACGAGGGGCGGGCAGAACCCAGGGGTGAGCCCGTAGCTGGGATTCTGACAACATGGCTGTGGCCTCATAGAGACCAAAGTTCAGCTTTGTCATTGACCTTGGGCCTTAGTTTGTCTTTACAGGCAAACCTGGGTTTATGACTCCTTCAGCTCCCAAGCTCTATGAAGCCCAGAGAGGATCAAAGTGTTACATTTGGTTGGTCACACACAGCTAGTCAGTGACATAGGTGGAGGGGGAGGTGTAAGAAAAAATTTAAGTGAGAAAAAGTGGGTGGTAGGAGGAGGCCAACATTTGCTGGGCGCCCAGGACAGAGGGCTCTTGATGTGTGTTTGCTCTCTTCACCTCTCACTAGCCTTGGCGACACAGCCCGAACCCCCATTTTGCAAATGAAGAAACCAAAAGACTTGGAAGTGAGGCAAGTTGTCCAAGGTTATGCAAGGGGTACCCAGGATTTGAACCCAGATTTTGGACATTTTATTTCAAAGCCCATGTGTTTCGCACTGTCTTGGGCTGTCCCCACAGGGGCCGCAGAGAGAGAGACTTCGACAGATGCACAATCACTGCCTCTCCTATGGTTCCAGCGTCTCTGGCTGCCACCCACCAGTGTTAAAGCCTGTGTCACGTCAGAATGTGGCCAGGTTGTCCCGGTCCTTTATCCTTCCCTGAGGAGGTCATTGCTTAGTCTTTGTCCAAAGACCTGGGGGTGAGGTGGTGGCCAGGGAGGGCAGCCAAGAGAGCAGAAGAGGAGAGCCCAGGGCCTCAGCTCCAAATGCCTGACCCCTCCCTGGGCCGGCCTCTCTCCCCCAGGTCTGTAAGAACGCGTGAAGCCTTGGTCTGGCGGAGGCTGACTTGGGGGGTGGAGGCAGCCAGGCCTCTGACCCCTGCAGCTGGTTTTAGACCTTGAGCCGTGGCCTTGGGATCTGAGCCCCTTCTCCCTGAGTGACACCACCCCAATGGGGCCAGCACTGAGTGGAAAGACATGATGAAGGAACCAGCACAGCCCACTTTGGACAGCGCCTTTGCCCAGGATACCAGGGGGCTGTGGGATCCAGCAGAGGGCTTCCCAGAGGAGGTGGCACAGAAGCCAAGATCCGAAGGATGAGGAGGAGCTGGCCAGTGACAGAAGGAATAGCATGTATACGGCCCAGATGTGAGAAGGCACTTGTCCTCCTCACACAGGAGACACCTGCCCTGCCGTGGCCCTCCCCCTCTCCCCAGGAGAATCCTGGCTTCTAAATACGCCACGCTGGTGTGGAGCCCATGGGCTCTGAGCCCAGGCAATGGGCCCTCAGCATTTGTACTGGGGAGCTTGGGCTGCTGTGAGAGAATACCGTCGACTGCAGGGGGAGGGGGTGTGTGGCTGAAACAACAGACATTTATTTCTCCGAGTTCTGGAGGCTGGAAGTCCAGGATCAGGGTGCCAGCTAATTAGATTCCTGGTGAGGGCCCTCTTCTTGGATTACAGACTGCCACTTCTTGGTGTGTTCTAGCATGGGAGAGAGAGAGAGAGAGATATAGAGAGATCTTCCTCTTCTTATAAAGCCACTAATCTTATCATGAGGCCCCACACTCATGACTCAGTCTAACCCTAATGACCTCCAAAAGTCCCCATCACATTCAGATACAAGGGCTTCCACATACGAATTCGTGGGGACACAATGCCATCCATAACAGAACAGGAGCACATGGGAGCTGGAAGGACCCTCAGCAGTTTTATTCTAGAGGCTCATCTGCATGACACTGTGTTCAAACACCTAGTGGGAGCTCGGGACACACTTGTGAAATGGAAGAAGGAATCCAACACGCTCCGATCAGATGGAGGAACTGAGGCTGAGCTGGGGCAAAGGACACGTCCAGTATCATGCCGAAGGCTAATGGCCACGCTGGGACCCGGCCTCAGACCAGGCCGCCCCCAATCTGGGCAGGGGATGAGGTTCTGGGTCCCACGGGGCACAGTCTGGGTCAGATTCGGGAGGCGGGGAAGACCAGCTGGGGCTGCGGCGCCCCCCGTGTGTTCGGCAGCCAGCGTTAGAACACCTGCTGTACGCTGGGGATCAAAGCTGCCAAGGTGCCTGATTCCATGAAGCCTGTCCTAGCGGGGACAGGCAGGCAATAAGTGAAATTAATAATTAAAATCAAAAGAATGTCAGGTGATGGCAAACGTCATGGAGAAAAACAGAGCAGAACAAGAGGGACGAGAGAGGCACGGGAGGCCAGGAGCTCTCGGAGTCGGTGTGCTGGGGACAGCATCTCTGACAAGGTGACACTGACAGAGACCTGAAAGAACATATGGGTTTTTTTTTCCAAACAAATTCTTTGATTTTCTTCCCTTCAAGAGATGGAGCTTAATTTCCTCCTTTTCTGTGGGGACCGGGCTTGGTGACTCACTTCCCACAGGTGAAATGCACCAGAAGTGATGGTGTATGACTTCAGGATCAATTACTAAATACCTCGCAGTTTCCAGCTTAATCTTTCTCTTTCAGGTCACCTGCTCTAGGGACAGCAGCTGCCGCCTTGCGAGGACACTTGAGCAGCTCCGTAGAGAGGCCTACCCGGTGAGGCTCCAACCCCGCCTGCCGACAGCCACATGCCCGGGCTGCCGGGGCTGCCGGGGCAGCGGGCCCTCCAGCCCCAGCCGAACCTTCTGAGGAGCGCAGCCCCTGCTGACGTCTTGACTCAGGGAGCCTGAGCCAGGCCCAGACACTGCTGGATTCTTGACCCACAGGAATGAAGTGATAATAAGTGTTGGTTGTTTTAAGTCACTAAATGTCGTGGACTAATTTGTTGTGCTGCACAGATAACAAACTCAGAAGGGGAGGAGCCCGCATATGGGTGCCTCGGAAAAGTGACCCAGGGACAGCAGGTGCAAAGGCCCTGCACCTCCATGCACCTGGCTCAGCCCTTGTCTGTTTGATCCTCAGTTTCCTCATTTGTCAAAGGGAAGAAGCAACACCGCTCTTGCCCCTCTCAGGGGATGTTATTGGATGGGCAACTCGATGACAGACCTAGGCAGGATCAGGGAGGCAGACTAGCCCAGCCGTACAGGCGATGGCAGCCATCAAGATGCAGGCTGGCTCCCCTGTGCGGGCACCATCTTTGCTGCGGCTGCTGCTTTCTGCCCCCTTCCCGGACCTCCTGGGTGAGACTCCCCAGAGGAGCATCCTGGGAACCCATATTCTGTTTACCTGGGGATCCAGCTGACAAAGCGTCCGATTTTGGGTTCACACACACACAGTTGGGAACCGCGGTGCTGTCCTCAGTTTCCTCGGGCTCTCTGCAGTTCCGGCCTCCCTCCGGCCACCTGGCCAAGACCTTCTCACCCTCAAAACCTACCCCAGGCTTCTGTCTGCCTTTCCCTGTCCCTGGAGTTGCAGCTTCCTGCCGTGGGCTCACCACTGAGCCCTGCTCTGGGTTTTCTGGCAGAAGTGTCCTAATCGCTCATGCTGTGGCCCTTGACTGTTGTGGTGACATGATCTGTGTAGAGTCGGTGTCTCTGAGGATGGAGATCGTGTATGACGCATGCCTGCATAAGCCCGATGTCTGCGTGGGGCCTGGTGCCATGTGGACCTGCAGTACAACGATCTGGACAGAAGATGAAAGATGGAGCGAACGTTGGAAGAAAGGAGGAGAAAGCTAGGAGGAAGGGTGGGAAGACAGGGGAAGGGATGGGAGGACGACCTGGAGGAGAAGGAGGAGCCGGAGAAGTGCGGGAGGAAAGAGGAGGAGAGTGGCAGGAGCAATGGAAGGAAGACGAAAGGAAGGCTTGCAGAGAGCTGAGGGGGGGGGGCTGGAGGGAAGTGGGCGTGAAGATGGGGAGGGCGACTGGGAGGAGAGACGGGCTGGTGAGTGAGTGAATGAGGACGTGAGTGGCGGGACAGTCTCTCCACCCGCGGAGCCGAGCCTCCGTGCACCTAGACGCACCCGCCCCGCACTGTGACTCAGACCTCTCGCTCAGTTAACCGCTCGGTTAACCAGGCCCGTTTTACTCACGCCCTCTCCTGCGGCAGAAGCAATTAGAGCCGAGGGTTGGAAGCTTCTCCCCAGGCAGCTCCACCTGCCCTGTCCCGTCCCATTAACTTCCAATTCAACAGCCATCCCCGACCTGCAATGTATAATGAAAGACATTCAAAATATATCCAAATGGCATGAGTATTGATTTATTAATGCTGGGGAATGTTGCTCTAATTGAATTGAGATCCAGGAAGTAAGTTAATGCAGCTGACGGTGCTACAGGAATTGAATTACCCCAGGGCCCAGAATTATTACCTTTTCACTCTCTTTGTTGTCAGTGGGATAAATAACAAATCAATTGACAATTCACCCTGGTGGCAAAAAAAAAAAAAAAAAAGTTCACAGAGCCCTGGACCGAGAGCTGGGGCATGGGTGTGGGTGAGGGGTGGGGAGCTTCCTGGAGGAGGTGGAATGGGAAGCAGAGAAGAGATGAGGGTCTGTCTCCAAGCCCGGACCCCTCCCTTCCCCTCCTTTAGTCCAGCAGCCAGAGTTCTCTAAGACGCTACCTGCACAGACTGAGCCCCTGCTCACTGAGAACATCCCCGGGTGCGCTGAGGGCCAGAGAGGGAGGCACTTGCCCCAGGTCGAGTTTCCCCATAATTCTCACCACCTCCCTGGCTCCAGCTGTGTGTGCATTTCCCAAAGTCTTTCCAGATGTGTGCGCTGCTCTCTCCTCTGCATCCTGACTGTCACACCCCCTGCCCTGGGGTCCTCTGTTGTCTGAGGCACCCACTAGTCAAGAGAGGCCTTTGAGAGCTGAAGGTTGAAGCCTGAATGTCCCCCTCACCTGGCCACTGAGAGATTTGTGATGGGAACCTGGAAACTTCTCAGAGGACCAAAGACCCTGGTCTGCTCCATCATGAGGAAGAAGCTCAGGAGTGCAATTTCAACTAGCATCTTCCTTGACATCCCTCCCTCCTATTCCTCTTTAGCATCTCCAGGTGTCTTCTAGCCTTACACCTGGCTCTCCTGGAATGCAACACCTTTGGGGGGAATAAACTGCCTCCCCAAAACAGAGGACTGTGGCAAGAGAAATACTTGGCTTGAAAGCCCAGCTCTGCTTGTTGTTGGGTTTGTGGCCCTAGGTGATTTTGTTCACATCTCTGAGCCTCAGTTTCCCCACCTGTCTAATGGGAGTAAAACCCCTTTGTGCCTCACAAGAGGTTGGCTCCGAAGTGCTTCAGAAAACACAGAGCTGTTGATGACAGCCAGGGGCTGGGAGTGTCTGCCAGGGACCACACGCTTCTCCGTCAGACTCCTCCCGCCGTTGGCTGCCCAGATGGGTGTCTGTGAAGCAGCCTGGCTGGCCTTGCTCTGGTCAAGGGAGAGAAAGGCTGAGTTAATTAAATCAACAGCTAACAGTGCAGGTTACCCACAAAAGTGAACTTTAGTGCCCCTAAAACCACTGACCAAAGGAGGGCTGGGAACAAAATGAAACCACAGTTGGAGTAAAATGGAAAAAGAAATCATCAGCTCTACATCACTTCAGCTGGCCACAGGTATCAGCATATTAATTGGTCTTTGACTCGATTTGGCTGTGGGAGTCAGGGCAGGCTGTGGCTTCAGGGAGCCCAGCCGAGCGCCATGGGGCTGGCCGCAGGGCATGCTGGGACTTCGCCTGGCCGCAGGGACGGGAGGCCGGTGGAGGAGGGGCCGGGCCGGGGCCTCCACAGGCCCAGGGGGGCTGGGTGTGCATCTGCGGGTGTGAGGGGCCAGGTGGGCGTGAGCGAGAGTGGAAATGGGTGTCGGCACCCTTGTGGGTGTGAGGAGTTGGAGGCTTGTGAGCGCGGTGAGCAAACCCTGTCACCCAAACAGTGCTCGGCACATCAAACACTCTGGGTGCACATCTGTTGTTATCAGATTTTTACAACAGCTTGAGCTAGAAGGTGGCGATTCCATGAAGAAGGTGGAGGAGGCTCACAGATGGGGAAGGCGCCACCCACAGGGGCAGCAGCCATGGCAGAGACAACCACGACCTCGGAGCACAGGGCCAGGCACCGAGCGGCGTGAGGAAGGGCTCTGGGCGAGTTTCCTGGGAATCAGAGTCCCCTCCCCAGACAGCCACCGCCCGTGCTGGCCTAGGCCCTGCGCTCCCTTCCGATGGCTTCTCAGGAGCTGACGTGCAGGAGCCTGGCCTGGGGGAGCTTCCCCACCAACAATCCCCTGCAGTTCCAAGCCAACTACGGGTGTTCATGTTCCACTGTGGCGAGTGGCTTTCTCTTCAGCGGCTGCTCCGACACTAGTGACCCGTGGAAGCCGTGACTGTGCCCAGCTCTTCGCTTGCCGCTGCCTGCCTGTTGGACATGCTCGTGGAGCCAGGAACGGCAAGCTGGCTGTCTGAGGGGCGTCTCCAGTGCTGGGGACATGTCCAGTGGAGCCCACGGCCTGAGTGCCCTGATGCACCTGTGTCAGATGCACTCTCTGCAGGCATGTCCTCCATGTGGCCCTGGGCCTGTGCCAGGGAAGGTCGGTCAGCCCCCAGGCCTTTCTGTCAAACCCGAGACATTCTGGACAAGAAGGGTGTTTAGGCCACCTTTCTGCCCCTCAGTTCACAAACAAAGCAACGGAAGCAGAGAAGGGAGACACTTGCTTGAGGTCACGAAGTCACCCAGCAAGTCAAAACCCAGGGCTCCAGCTTTCCAATGCTTCCCTCTCGAACTCCCATTCTTCCCGAGGCCAAGTTGGTAGCATTCAAACCACAGTTCTAGCTGCAAAGTGGCAACTGACGTTGCTTCCGTGTCTCGGAGGTAGAAGAGAGTGCTGGGGACTATGGCAAATTGCAGAGTCCACACCTTGTCCCAGCAGGGTGGCCACTGTGCAGCCGGCTAGCGCGGTGCAGGAAGGTGGGCTGTGTTTTACCAGAGCTTCTGCTTTTTCAAGAGAAGCTGAAAAGCTGGGTTCTTATGTGAGGTTTTACGATTTTAAATGTGGGCAGAGCTCAGAACATTTAAAAGCATGGTGTGACATGCAAAGCAAAATGACACTTTTGCCGTCTGTGGGCTGCAGGTGGTGACTCCGGGTTCTTTCTCTGGGGCTTGGTGGATAGAACTGTGGGAGGAGGAGGAGGAGCAGGCCTGGTGCTGCGGAGAGGATTTGCTCTGAGACGCTGCTGGCCTACTGCCGCCATCACTCACTCCCTCCTTTCCTCCTTGACCCTTGTGGCCTGGGCTTTCCTCTCCATCTGCTTTGTCCCAGGGGATCCTGACTCCTCTTTGGCAGAACGAACCCAAGCTCCCCAACATCCCAGCTAGGGTGGCGCACAGAGGGTTCTGGAGAGTACAGGAGCCTGCTGGGCTCTCTCCTGGCATCTTCCTAGAAGAGGGTCAAGGCTCCCTTGGCATGATGGAGGGTGGGGCAGAGCCCACAACGGACAGATCCAACCCCTAGCCCTGGTTCCATTCCTACCACGGGGATTAAAATTTGGGGTCAGACAGACCTGGGTTCAAACCCTGACTCTGACAATGACAAGCCGTGTGAGTTCTGAGCCTTGGTGAAGAAGACAGTGCAGACCCTGGCGGTGTCCCCTCAGCACTCGTTTCCACATACCAAGGGCTGCTTACTGCAAACTCCATGGCTCAGCCTATGGGCTTTTTCTGACTGTGCTGAGACAGGTGCTCGTGGGCTGGGCTGCGAGCCAGTGCTGGGGCGTGGATGCCCTTCCATGGCTTTCGGGCGAGAACCACAGGGCGTCCGTGGACAAGTATCCCAGCTCCTCCCCCCTTAGGTTGGAATAATCCCAAGGCGTATTCTACACCATCTCCTGAGTCCCCCAAGGGGACGACTTTCGGTTGTCCGCAGCAGCAATTTGCTTGATGGCTCACCCCTTCCTGGTCTCACTCCCCCTCTATCTCACCAGTGTTTCCTGGCACCTTCTCCTAACAAACTACTCACGGTAAGCCCAGTAGGGACTGCTGCTGGGAAACCAAGAGCCTCCATGTACTAAGCTGTCAAATGGGTACAGTTAATAACTGCACAATTGAGGGTAAAACCAATTCCCACACACGCAAGTTGCCCAGGTGCTGCTGATCACGTGGGAAACCTTTCCCAATGGGAGGCCGCTTTGGTCATTGTTCATGATATTGTGACACCGACTCCCAGTGCCAAGGTCAG